TCTATTACAGAGCTACAGTAATGAAAACAGTGTGGTACTGGCATAAAAACAGAGAAGTCGACCAATGGAATCGTATAGAAGGCCCGGATTTTATCCCACAAACCTATGAACACCTCATTTTTGATAAAGGAGCTAAAAGTATACAATGGAAGAAAGAAAGCATCTTCAACAAATGGTGCTGGCACAACTGGATGTCATCCTGTAGAAGAATGAAAATAGACCCTTATCTATCACCGTGCACAAAACTCAAGTCCAAATGGATTAAAGACCTCAATATCAGCCCGAACACACTGAACCTGATAGAAGAGAAAGTGGGAAGTACCCTACAGGAGATGGGCACAGGAGATCGCTTCCTATGTATAACTCCAGAAGCACAGACATTAAGGGCAACATTGAATAAATGGGACCTACTTAAACTGAGAAGCTTCTGTAAAGCAAAGGACATAGTCACTAAGACACAAAGGCAACCTACTGACTGGGAGAAGATCTTCACCAACCCCACAACAGACAAAGGTCTGATCTCCAAAATATATAAAGAACTCAAGAAACTAGACTTTAAAATGCTAATTAACCCAATTAAAAAATGGGGCACTGAACTGAACAGAGAATTCTCAGCAGAGGAAGTTCAAATGGCCAAAAGACACTTAAAGTCGTGCTCAACTTCCTTAGCAATCAGGGAAATGCAAATCAAAACAACTTTGAGATATCATCTTACACCTGTCAGAATGGCTAAAGTCAAAAACACCAAGGATAACCTTTGCTGGAGAGGCTGTGGAGGAACGGGTACCCTCATCCATTGCTGGTGGGAATGCAATCTTGTGCAACCACTGTGGAAGTCAGTGTTTCGGTTTCTCACGAAATTCGGGATCAACTTACCCCTGGACCCAGCAATACCACTCCTGGGAATATACCCAAGAGATGCTCTATCATATGACAAAAGCATTTGTTCAACTATGTTCATAGCAGTATTATTTGTAATAGCCAGAACCTTGAAACAACCTAGATGCCCTTCAATGGAAGAATGGATGAAGAAAGTATGGAATATATACACGCTAGAGTACTACGCTGCGGTAAAAAACAATGACTTCTCGAATTTTGCATGCAAATGGATGGAAATAGAAAACACTATCCTGAGTGAGGTGTCCCAGACCCAAAAAGATGAACATGGGATGTACTCGCTCATAATTGGTTTCTAGCCATAAATAAGGGCCACGGAGTCTACAATAGGTGAACCTAAAGAAGCTAAGTAAGAAGGTGAACCCAAGGAAAAACATATAGTTATCCTCTTGGCTAAGGGAAGTAGACCAAATTGCCGGGGAGAAAATTAGGATCTTGGGGGTGGGGTGGGATGGGGGTAAGGGGAGATGGGGAGAGAAAAGGTAGAAGGGAAGGAGGGGGGACTTGGGGAATCAGGAGAATTGGGATAAAGGAAAGGTGGATAGGGGAGCACGGAACCACAATTCTTAGTTAAGGGAACCACTTTAGGGTGAGCAAGAGATTTGACCCTAGAGGGGCTCCCAAGTGCCCAACATGAGGTTCCCAGTTAGTTCCTTGGGCAGCTGAGGATTGGGAACCTGAAATGACCCTATCCTAGAGCAATACTGACGAATATCTTGCATATCATCATAGAACCTTCATCTGGTGATGGATAGAGATAGAGACAGAGACCCACACATGAGCACTGGACTGAACTCCCAAGGTCCCAATGAGGAGCAGAAGGAGGGAGAACATGAGCAAAGAAGTCGGGACTACGAGGCGTGCACCCACCCACTGAGACAGTGGAGCTGATCTACTGGGAGCTCACCAAGGCCAGCTGGACTGTGACCGAAAAAGCATGAGATAAAACCGGACTCTCTGAACATGGCGAACAATGAGGGCTGATGAGACGCCAAGGACAATGGCACGGGGTTTTGATCCTACTTAATGTGCTGGCTTTGTGGAAGCCTAGCCAGTTTGGATGTTCACCTTCCTAGATATGGACGGAGAGGGGAGGACCTAGGACTTACCACAGGGCAGGGAACCCGGACTGCTCTGTGGACTGGAGAGGGAGGGGGAGAGGAGTGGGGGGAGGGGGAGAAGGGTGGGAAGAGGGGGAGAAGGGTGGGAGGAGGGGGAGGGAAATGGGAGGCTGGGAGGAGGTGGAAACTTGTTTTTTGTTTATGTTTTTTTTTCTTCTTTTCTTAATAAAAAAAATTATAATCACAAAAAAAAAGAAAAGAAAAAAAAATTTAAAAGCGTAATTTTAGCTTCAGGTATAATGGAATAGCTTGTGGGGTTTTTTTTTTAGTCCTTATACTAAGAATAGCCCAAAAGGAGAAGAAAAATATTAGAAGATACATTAGGAAGCCTTTGGAAATGAATAAATGAGCAGAAAGCCAAAGAACAAACAGCTGCTCCTACTCCTTCTCTTCCTCCTTGTTTTCATGAAATTGCCTCACTGTATATACCAAGCTGGCCTCTAACTTGCAATTCTCCTGCCTACTACTCACAGTCGTCTTGCCTCAGCCTTCCATGTGCAGGAATTATAGGTTTATAACATTATGCTTGGTTCAGATACACAAACTTCTGTTAATATAGTAAATAATAAAAAATATAACCAATTATAAATAAAGAATTGAAATAATGAACTGTGTTCTTATGTGGAAAAAAATCTAAAGATTTCATATATATTTAAAAAGCCTGCTAGAAGCTGGGCAGTGGTGGTTTATACCTTTAATCCCAGCACTTGGAAGGCAGAGGCAGGTAGATCTCTATGAGTTTGAGGCCAGCCTGGTCTACAGAGTGAGTTTCAGGGTAGTCAGGACTGTTACACAGAAAAACAGAGAGAGAGAGAGAGAGAGAGAGAGAGAGAGAGAGAGACCATTAGAAATAATAAATTGGGCAAAGATATAGGACACAAAATTATATATTTTCATTTCTATATTAAAAATAAATGATCCAAAAAGGAAATCAACAAAAATGCATTTATAGTTGCATCAAAAAGAACAAAGACGCCGGGCGGTGGTGGCGCACGCCTTTAATCCCAGCACTCGGGAGGCAGAGGCAGGCGGATCTCTGTGAGTTCGAGACCAGCCTGGTCTACAAGAGCTAGTTCCAGGACAGGCTCCAAAACCACAGAGAAACCCTGTCTCGAAAAACCAAAAAAAAAAAAAAAAAGAACAAAGACTATAAAAATGAATATAACTAAATAGGTAGAAGATTTGTTCGCTAAATATAACAAATGTTAATGAAAGAAATTAATGAAAATTGAAATTATTTTATTGTCTGAAAAACAGATATAACTGGAGATTATAATGTTAAATGAAATAAGCCAGACTTTGATAAATAATTGCATTTTTTCTCAATTTTATAGAAAATTTTAAAAGATTTAAAATTAAACATAGACTAGGTATATGATTCAAGAATTCTAAGTACATACTCTGAAGGAAATGCAGTGAAGAGGTAGAATAAGTATTATCTTTGTTACTGTACAGTATTGTTCACAGTAGACAAAATGGGAACACTCCAAATTCCCATCAACAATTGAATAGAAAAACAAAGGTGGTATATACATAGGTAGAATATTTGGCCTTAAAAGAGGAAGGAAATTCTAACATGTGCTATGCCATATATGAACTTCAAAGATATTGTGCTGAGTTAAATAAAGCAGTTAGTTTTCAAAGGAAAGATATTTATGATTCTCGTTGAGTAGTCTAATTCATAGACACAAAGTAGAAATTTATTGTTAGATTGAGAGGAGAAGGGAACTAGCAAGTAGAGTTTCGATTGAGAGGAGAAGGGAACTAGCAAGTAGAGTTTCAGTTTGATAAGATGAAGTAGTGATGGCATTTACACGATGATGTATTTAAAGTCACTAAACTGTACTCTTAAAATGATAAATTTTATGTTACACATATTTTTCTGTGATAAAAAAATACTAACAAAGACCAGCATAATGGCTAAACAGGTAAGAACACTTTCCACAAAAGCCTGATGACTTGAGTTTGATCCCAGAAACTCAAAGTGAAAAGAACCAGCTACAAAGGTTGCCCTCTGACCTCCATGTGTGTCATGTCATGAGAATGTGTGCCTGTACACACACACACACACACACACACACACACACACACACACCCTAAGCAATAATAGTTAAAACCTAGTTTTGATATTAATCCCAGAGCAAATGTGTGCTTAATTCAGTGAAACTTGTAATCGAGCATTCTCTAGTCTGCTCCCTTTCAAGTTGAAAAAACTCTGAAAATGTAGCATGTTTAGGGATTGGGGGAATGGCTCAGTTGGTGAAACACTTGTCTCGCCATCATGAGGACCCAAGTTTGGTTCCATGAATAAACATAAGAATGTCAGGAATGGTATGCATGCTTGTAATCCCAGCACTGGGAAGGAAGAGACATGAGGATCCAGGGGCTCACTAGCCAGAACATCTAGCCTAGTTGGTGGACTAGGTTGACGAGAGAATGGACCTCACAAGGAGATGAGTGACATTCCTGAGAATGACACCCAAGGCTTTCCACTGGTCTACATGTGTACTCATACACATATGCATGAAAAGGCAGCGTATCAAAGATAAAGATATCAAATCAAGTACTCATGAAAATATGTCATAGCCAAAAACATATAGTAGGGGTTCTATAAGTACTGACAAGAAAAGATATTCAATGTATTTGTGAGGAAAACATTTTTAGAACAATGTGTATTTTCCCCTTTGGTGATAGGAAAAATGCATGTCAGTGAATGAACAATATACTTATTGTATCTAAAAGTCTATTTAATTTACTTTTACATATATAGTAATATATATAATACATTTAACATAGGTATAGATTGCAAGATAGATTCTAATGTTAAGAAAGCTAGACTGTAAAAGGAAGACACCTTAAACAGAAAGAAATGAGGTAGATGTGTATATATGTATATACATACATTGTGAGTGTCTGTGGAAACCAATATTGCTTTAATCTGTACATTAAGAATATCCTGACCAGTTTTCAATTTTGTGTCAGGATGCAACAGTAGAATGAATCTCAGTGGACGACCCTACAGGTTCATGGGTGTGCTTGGAACATCAAAACTCTATGACATCCGCAAAACAGTCTTCACTTTCACTCCACAGGTGAGTGGCAAAAGCTGCACCATGCATTGAGATGAATCGAAATGAGAGGAGAGAGACTGCAGAAATAAAACATTGGCTGGAATTGGATTAGTCACAGTCTTACAGGGCCTTGCATGTATCAAGTGATTCAATAACTGTTCGCTGAATTGAACTCGCTGCATAGAGCTTTGCCAAGTGACTGCCACTACCAATATTCCCGGGTGTTAAACTGTGATTGGGATTTTCCAAATGTTAAGGTATTTACAGAATTTTCCTTATTTTTCAGAAGTTAAATTAAGACTGTATTTGTCCTTTATGTGTGGAAATACAATCTATTTAACTGCTCAATTAAGTGTTTCCTATTATGAAGGAGCCTTTTCATTTGCATAGAAATCTTCAATGCCCTCTTTTAAAGAAAAATAACAGGATTATTAGGCTGTAATCATATATATTGGTGGCCTGACATTTGTTAGCGACATACATAGATCTAAGATGGATGGCAGTAGCAGTTATTTTCTGGGAAGGAAGCTAGGTACAGTGTCACATGCTTGTAATTCCAGCACTTAGGAGGGTGAGGCAGTGCATTCAGCACCAACAAGGGCCACATGGTTAGCAAGGTTAGTATGAGGTACATAGGAATATTCTGTCTCAACCAAGGGCTGAAGATGAAGCTTAATGGTCAAGTGCTTTCTAAACATGCACAAGTCCTAAGGTTTGATCTCTAGTAGCAAAGTAATTATTTTCTTGAAGGAGAATTTTAATCCTCTATTTGTTATATCCAAAACAGTGCATCTAAGATAGACAAAAGATGAACTTAACCTAGACTCTATTTCTGACTTTTCCATTTGCTAATCAGATGTGTGTGTGTTAGTTCACATACTGCCCCTGAGTCTTACTCTTCATATTAAAAGAAAAACGGCAGCCAGGCGGTGGTGGCGCACGCCTTTAATCCCAGCACTCGGGAGGCAGAGGCAGGCAGATCTCTGTGAGTTCGAGCCCAGCCTGGTCTACAAGAGCTAGTTCCAGGACAGGAACCAAAAGCTACAAAGAAACCCTGTCCTGAAAAATAGAAAGAAAGAAAGAAAGAAAGAAAGAAAGAAAGAAAGAAAGAAAGAAAGAAAGAAAGAAAGAAAGAAAGAAAGAAAGAAAGAAAGAAAGGAAAGAAAGAAAGACGTCAAGTTGAGAATAGTGGTGTGTGCCTGTAATCTCATAACTCAGGAATTACAGAGCAAGGGCATTATGAGTTCAAAGCGAGCCTAGGCTACATAATAAAAAATTAGGAAGAAAGGGGAGAGGTAGAGGAGGAGCTACTTATACTAGGTGGTTATAGGATTAAATGAAATTATATACTTGAAAAAAATTGTAAGCAGTCACACACTTTAAAAATATCAGAAACTAGCTAGGCAGTGATGGCTGCACACCTCTATCCCAAGCAGTCAGGAGGCAGAGGCAGGCAGATCTCTGAATTCAAGGTCAGTCTGGTCTACAGAGTGAGTTCCAGGACAGCCAGGGCTACACAGAGAAATCTTAGCTCAAAAAAATCCAAAATAAAAAGAAAAAAATATCAGAAATTATTGTTATGCATACCGTTGACCACCACATACTTTGGGAATTATTAGTCATTAAATTTGAGAGTACTGTTTCCTGTGTGACATATATGCTTTATGAATAAGCAGACATTGAAAAATACTATTTGATATTTGTGAGAGAAAATTTTTCTGAATGATTGTTTTTCCTTTTCTCAGTTTATAGATCAGCAACAGTTCTACCTGGCTCTGGACAACCAGATGATAGTAGAAATGCTTAGAACAGATCTGTCCTACCTCTGTAGCCGCTGGAGGATGACAGGCCAGCCCACCATCACTTTCCCCATCTCACACACCATGCTTGGTAAGAGAATGAGTGAAGGAAGTTATGTGTGTAGTCCTTCAGTGTCGCACTGCAGAGCAGTACTTACCAGCTTAGCTTTTGTGTCAGACAATTTTCTAAGCTCTGGACACACAGGGTGATAGACAAGTAAGGTTTCTGTTCTATTTAAGTTTATGTTTTAGGAGGTGAAGACAGATGATAAATATGAAATAAATGGATGCATAAGAATATTTCATATGGTTTGAGAGCCACAGTGTAAAAACGGAGCAAAGACTAGCTTTAGGTAATTGATTTCTGAGTTAATTTTCCAAAAGTTATATTCTACAATTGTTTTTAAAGAGAATGCTACTACATCCTGCATCTGTTTTATCCCAGTGGAGCATCACAATTTATAGGAAAGTTCCCAAGCTTCTCCTTCCAAAGCCCATCTTACTGAAGGAGTCGCATTTAGGCGGAGAAAATGCAAAAGCTTTTGGGTTGTATTAGGACCAGGGAGAGCTGCTTCCTCACAAGGAAAGGCTTTGTTGTTCTGAGTTCTGCTGCTTTCTTTCTGTGTCTCTGCTGTTGCTTCCAAAGTTCTGTGTGTACTGCCAAAGTGCATAGAATTCCTTTTCATGAAAAAGAACCTTTGATCATTAGTCATTCAAAATCCAGACAGACTGGTAGGAAATTTGGTCACATCTGAAAAGGGCTACAAAATAGCAGGAGCTGAGAAAGTAGGGTAGTCTTTGTTCTTTTTAACAAGTGCGCATTTAAAACTAATGTATTCGCATAATTGTCTTGAGATAGTTACAGTTTAATTTAGAAGGCAAAGTTAATAGATAATAATAATAGAAAACAAATTCAAGATAGTACATTAAGTACTAAAGCACTGAAAGCTATCATGGTGCCTAAGAAAAAAGTTCAGCTGATGTAGAACTTAGGCTTTCAGATTTTCTTTTCTCGGTTTTTGTTTTTAACAAGATTTTTACACATTGAGCCATCTCACTTACCCTGTTGGTTTCTGAGACTGGATCTTATCTATGCAGGAGGAGTTTTTCATCTAAACAACTGATCAGCTCTGACCCACCAGCTGCTCCCCAAATAACCACACAGAGACTTATTATTAATTATAAATGCTTGGTTGATAGCTCAGTTTGTTACTAGCTAACTCTCACATCTTAAATTAACCCATATTTCTTATCAGTGCTCTGCCACATGCTCGGTACCTTTCCTCAGTACGGCAAGTTCACCTGCTTCCTCCACCCTCCTTCTTCCCAGCATTCTCTCTGCCCCTAAAATCCTACCTAGCTATCAACCAGTCAGCTTTTTATTAACAATGAGAGCAATACATCTTCACAGTACACAGAAGGATTATTGAACAGCTTGTATAGCCTAAGCTCTCTTCAAACTTGATATATAGCTAAGGTTGCCTTTGGACTCCTGATCTTCCTGCCTCTGTCTCCCAAGTACTGAGATTACATATGTTTACTACTATGTATGACTTTTATTTGTTTTTGTTATTACTTTGTTTTGTGTTTTTGAAGCAAAGTCTCACAGTATAGCCCAGGCTATTGTGGAATTCATTATGTACATGAGCCTGACTTTAAACTCATGGCCCTCCTGCCTCTGCCTCCAGAGTGTTATTAGAAAGAACAAATTAGAAAAGGCAAATCTCAAGACTATCATCAGTTTAATATAAAAACCAGATAATCATCATCCTTCTAGAGGATTTTACACACACACACGACTCATTATGAGTAATACCATCTGTACTGACTGGTTTTGTGTGTCAAACTGACAAACTAGAATCATCAGAGGAAGGTGCCTCAGTTGAGGAAATGCTTCCATCCTTAAGGCATTTTCTCAATTAGTGATCAATGGGGGAGGGCCAAGCCCATTGTTGGTGGTACTATCCCTGGTATAGTGGTCTTGGGTTCTATAAGAAAGTAGGCTGAACAAGTCATGGAGAGCAAGACTAGTAAGTAGCTGTCCTCCATGGGCTCTGCATCAGCTCCTGCTTCCAGAAGCCTTCCCTGTTTTGAGTTCCTGTCCTGACTTCCTTCAGTGATGAACAGCAATGTTGAAATGTAAGCCAAATAAGCCCTTTCCTCCCCAACTTGCTTTTCAGTTATGGTGTTTTGTTGCAGCGATAGAAACCCTAACTAAGACATTGTCTGTGAGATGCTTATCATAATGCTAATCCCAATGGTTCAAGGAGAAAAACCACTAACCATAATCATCAATGACCAAATTAATTAAAGCAAGCAATTAATTAAAGCAAGCTTTTTTAACTCATGTACATAGGCTGCCTCCCCCTATGGTAGCGTTCAAGAGGTCAGCCTTGGACATGGGTAAGATAAGAATTTTTATAGTTCAGGGGTTGGTGGTTTCCAGAAGGGGTATTTGGCAGGCTAATAGGTAGGGTTACAGAAGCAGCATTATAAAGCAGTCATAACAACATAGTCATAACAACCCTTTGAAACAAAGGTAAGGTTGCAGGATGGTCATAAAAACTTTTTGAAGACAGACCGTAGTGAAATACACCTTTAATCCCAGCACTTGGGAGGCAAAGGCAGGCAAATCTCTTGAGTTCAAGGTTCCATGACAGCCAAGACTACACAGAGAAAACCTGTCTCAAAAAGGAAAACAAATAAACAAACAAAACTAACATTTTGAAACAAAGACATGTTAAGTGAGTCATAGCCCAATCCTTGAGAAACAGAGACTTAGTCATAAACAGGAATGAACCTAGTTTCAAGCCTAACATTTGATAAATAGTTGATGTTGTTAAAAGTGCTGGTTACTTGTGATTAACAAGATAATGCCTTTGAAGAACTTAATCGTTACCATTTGCCCAGTCTCCAGTGATGTTGCTCTTCACATTAATCATCGAAGCACAGGACGGTCAGTGAGGAGTATCTCATTTGTGGTACTCCCAGTACAAAGTTGGTTTGAAATGTTTGAAACACTTCCCCTAGTTCTCAGTTAAAACAACAAAATATGTTTTTAAAATCTTTTACTTTTAAGAGGAAGATGGAACCAGCTTGAATTCAAGTATTCTGGCAGCACTCCGAAAAATGCAGGATGGCTATTTTGGTGGGGCAAGGTAAGTGAGCTAGGGGAGATGTAGCACAGGAAACTATAAATAATGCTTGAGCACTGCTTAGCATATGAGAAAGTCAAATTTAGATTCAAACCAATGCTGAAATAGCACACACAATTATAAGAATTCACTGTACTTTCTCAAGATATCATCTCAGCAGGCACATGAGTGTCCGCTTCCATTGATTCTTGGAAGGAAGACTATTCCTGAGTTGTAAAATAGCCTTCTAGAAATTTGTTTGTCTGTATAAACACATAAGCCAAGGCCCATTTTGACAGTGTTTCTATTATTCGGTGTACATCTGTAATTGGAATTCTTATATATAAAAATTAACTTATTTTGTGGTTTATTATTAATATATTCTTTGGGGTCTTATTTTATTCAATATATCATGACCCATTTCTGTCATTATTTCTTTCATTTTTCAGATTATCAAGATCTGGCCATTGGTAGCTCCTTTAAACTGGCTTCTTTAGAAAATTAATACTACTAATTTCATTTGAAGTTTTGTAATTGGCTTATTAAGTAGAGAATGATATAGTTCAACTTAATTTATTACAACATATAAAAATGTCAAATATTGTCTATGTCTAAAATTGTCTTTTGATGGTATTTTTAAATTTTTTGAGATTTCTTTTTATTTTTATTCTATATATATATATATATATATATATATATATATATATATATATATGAGAATTTTGCCTGAATGTATAATGCATGCCTGATTCCCACAGAGGCCAGAAGAGAGTATCAGATCCCCTTGAAATGGAGTTATAGATGATTCTGAGCTGCCATCTGGGTGCTGGAAATTGAGCCCAGGTCCTCTGCAAGAGCAACCAGAGCTCTAAACCACTTAGCAGTCTTTCTAGCCCCGATGGTATTTTTTTAAAAAATAATGTGATAGATTTGTGTGATTTATCTTCATTCTCTATCCACTTCTCTCATAACTAATGCAGTTTTTTACCAGATATTCAACATAGTGTACAGCAATAAAAGAGAATACAACTATTCTGTTGGAGGATTGTGAACTCGAATTAGTGGTCTTTCTTTAAAAATCTTGTCCCTAACATGTTGAAACATGTAAAGCATTCTTTTATTGACAATTATGACTCATTTGTATATCCTTTAAAAAGATATTTCCTGATTTGCTGTTTTCTATCTACCCTATAATTATAAGGATCCAGACAGGTAAATTGTCAGAGTTTTTGACAACATCTTGCTGCACACACTTAAGCTTCATGGACCCTGGACCTGAGGGTAAGCTGTACAATGAAGATTATGATGAAGACTATGATGAGCTGGAATCTGGCAACTGGATGATGGATAGCTATGATTCAACAAGTAATGGTAAGGAGGCCTTAAACACCACTGGTTGACCAGACAAGAATACGAGTGATTGTTTAGCTTCATCATTAATAACTGATGTTTCCAACAATCTCATAGTGTGCCATCCTCAGTCCTCTTTAATACATGTAGATTTCTACTTTTGTTTTGCTTCACTTTTCTTCCCTCTACTGCTCTTTGGTTTCTGGTTTAATATCTCTGTGGTGACTGACTGTAGAGTATGAGGTTAGGCAATGCCTTACCAAGATTAGGGAAGATTTCCTTCTTGAGTTTTTGAGGTAGCTGGTAATTTGAAATAGGAAGAAACAATGATAAGTAAAATATTTAATCAATAGTGCAGTTGAAAACATACATATACAAATATATGTATATCTTATATTTGACATTAAAAGATGAAATTTGGTTAGAGTTATGTTTAAAGTTTCACATAACTCAAGGACTTATATTTTACATAATATTAGAGACATGTCTTGATATCTCTGTACTTTGAAAAAGCCTGTTCAGAATGCCTGTCACTATTATGTGACAAATGCGATGAATAATGTACATAATTCATGCTAACGATACAAACATGGTGCCATGAGAATGCATTCTGATAGCATGGATTTAAAATGACTAGGAAACACTGACTGCAGTGCACAAGTACTGACCTTTGCAAGACAAAAATTACATTGTTTGAGTCTTCAAAAGAGAATGGTCGATAAGAGAATGGTTCTTCTAACTATCTAAATCTTGGTGAACTGTTTTTTGTTGTCTGGGTATTTGACTGTTGTCTACCATAAGATACTAACAAGCATAATCTCATAGAATAAGTACTGTTTTTTGTTAGGGCTCAACATTTACTCTATATTCTTCTTTATTTGCATAGTATTTCTTTTTGTATAAAGCATTTTGATAATTAAATATAACCGATATCCCTCTATTCAAGTATCTGGATTATATTCATAGTTAAAATATCTGTCACTAGGATACCATTGAATTTGAGTTTGATTCTTAGAGCTCTACTAGTTCCCATTGGTCATACCAGATCACAGAGGGACTTCTAAAGAGGTCACTGAAGATTGTCCAGCACCAAATGATGCATGACAGACAGACAGCTTTGGTTCCAATCCCAGCACTTCCCTAACTGTAAACATAATAAATGTTCATTTTAAAGTGTGACATTTCCATTATCTGTATAACAATATGATTTAAGTGTGTCCAACTTGGTAGATGATGTCATCATCTACCAAGTTCATGTTCAAGAACCATGCAATAGTAGAGTTTTTTAAAACCTCATGTTTTGAGTAAGTTCATGATTTTGTTTGAGGCCTTATCATAGTTATCCTTGGCTACATGTGACCCACAAGCCATGGGGCTAAATGTACCTAGATGATACACGGGAGAGGGTGAGCCCAAGAGAAGGGAGACAATATGTACTTTCTGCAACAATTCTCAATGTCCAGGACACTGCCTGTTCCATAGTAACAACACATATTTGGAGGATAAATAAATAAATAAGATGTCTAAAAGGCAATTTGTGACCAATAGTCCTTAGCCAACGGCATGCAAATATGCTTTTCTTGTTAGTGATTAGTACTAGTGTTTGTAGACTCTTTTTAGAACTAACTCATTATTTGGTGGAAGATTTTTTTGCCCTTCCATGGCCTTTCTCCGGAAAAGTCTCTTTCTATTAGTTGAAAGGGCCTATCCTTCCAATGTTGTCTCCCTTCTGCCACCCCTGCCATCACACACATAGAAATTATGAAATACTTGCTCTGCTTATTCTAGAACAAACTCATACATTTAGCTTTCAGTAACTTTACCTGTGTCTCAGCAAAATTGAAGAGCAGGTGGATCCTGGTAAATGGCTGTAGACTCTAAATCTTAATCTATGAGGTTATACAATTGTCTCAAGGATTTTTTTTCCCCATGAGTCAAGAACAGCCTTCCTCTGAGATGGTGTTTTAGGTATAAGAGCCACTCATTCTGACTACTAGGGTAGATTTTGAAGTAACTATGTTTGTTTTTGTTTCTTCCCTTTCCCCAACTAACCTTGCAGCTCGCTGTGGTGATGAAGTTGCTCGTTACTTAGACCACCTTTTGGCACACACTGTTCCCCATCCTAAACTAGCTCCTACCTCACAGAAGGGAGGGCTAGATCGGTTCCGAGCTGCTGTGCAAACAACTTGCGACTTAATGTCCTTGGTGACCAAGGCCAAGGAGCTGCATGTACAGAGTGAGTAATGCCATTACTCCCTAGTGTCAAACACAGATGCCATGAAGCCCATGATGGAGACAGGATCATGGTTTTGTTCACTGCTTTGTTCCCAGCCTCTTGGGCAGCACCTAGAATATAGTAGGCACTCAAATCCTTATGAAATCAATGAATACTATATAATCGTGATATGGATACTGTCATATAGTCTGGTTTGACCAAGAAAACAGCAAGACACAGAACAAGAGAACATACTCAGTTTTAATATAGAAGTAAAATGTAGAAGAGCATTTCTCATTTGGAAAATTACTTCTTTGAGGGTAATTTAGAATTTCTATTATAAAACAGGGTAGACAGAAGCAGAGACTGATATAAACTACAACTGGATTCCCCTTTATGCCCACTCTAACTGTGCATCCAGTTGTTCTAGCCATGTAGATCTCAAATATAATACTCATTCTTCACAACATCGCCACAGTTCTCTCCATAACCAGTACCTTCCTTTAGTAATGTTTTCATTGGAAGGTATCTTTTGTATGTTACAAAAGTAGCCATGGTTCCTAAGACTTCAGTATCTCTGTGGTTGCTATATGTGGAGGGAGAGAAGGGCTCCTAAGCCACACCTAGATAACCTGAATGTTACATTATCCAGAGGATGAGAATGGTTGTCATGCATGCTCCTGCTACCTAAATTTTTATTGACCATTACTAACCAGATACTAAATGTGAGCACTGTTTAACATTGAGATGAAGGAATTAGGATACCCTTTGGTTGTGTTCCAGCTAGAAAGAGTTTATGCAACGACATGAACTTATGTTCATTAAATTGCATTTATCATTTGTAAATCAGGAAATCAGAATTCGATTCCTAGCATTGCTATTTACTTACTTGACCAGTTATTTGAGCTCTGTATCGTCTCTGTGTAAAATGCTGAAAATGAAGTGCAGGTCTCTCCTTAGAGGTTATGGTAAGTATTTCTACTATGTAAGTAAAACATCTTAGAAACATCTCAAAGTTGATCAACCACTACATGTTTTTTGAGTCTCTAGATAGAATCATCCAGTCACAGCCTCTGGAAATCAAATATTTGCCTAGAAAATCCCAGAAAAAGTAAAATGTAACTGAGTTATTCCTTTTAGGTGTTTTTATGTATTTATATGAAAATACTAGTGATAGCATCATTGTGATAGTGATCCTATTAATAAATATAATATCTTATATGTCTAGTTGATGGTACAATTACAGAAAATCCTTTCAAAAATATAAAAATATGCATTAATTGGATATTTAAAAACTTATCTAATAGCCACATTTCTTTTTATTTGTATCATTGAAGGAAACTTTCGTCATTCTTGTTCTGTAAAGAACTGATCCACATGTTACCGTATTGCTAAGTCAACCATGTGTTTTATGTTTCCTACTTAACTTTTTCCATAAATGTCAACTTCCTGCAGATGTTCACATGTACCTTCCTACAAAGTTATTTCAGCCTTCTCGCCCTTCATTCAATTTACTTGACTCGCCTCAGTCTCCACAAGATAACCAGGTAACTGTGCATTTCTGTCAGCTTTTTGTAAAAATCTGGCATCTTTTTTTTTTCTTTTTTTATTGATTCTTTGGGAATTTTACATCATTCATTCCAATCCCACTCATTTCTCAGTTCTTCCATATCTGCCCTCCACCCTTATAACCTTCCCCACAAAAGAAAAAGCAGCAAAAAAATACAAAGCAAAACCTCTGGCCAAGCCCTCTGGGAAACCACCTGTTCCTCCATCAGTTGCAGCCTTCTCTCATACCACTCACAGCTGTGGCATCTCCAGTTCTACAGCCCATGCACCACCTCACTCCGCTGTGTCTTTCCTGCCTCTCCACATGTCTTCATCATAGTGGCATCGGAAGCTGTGGTGTGTCACGTAGTACACCCTTTTGCCCCAATAGCTTTACTTGCAAATGTGCATGCAGTGAGTCATTGGTCAAGTTCAAGGCCTCTGGCTTCTGGTATATCATCAATACTGGACCCTCACCAAGACTTGTCTCAGATATCTGGCTGTTGTCCAGAGTTGTGGAGATCCTATGGCTTTGGGTCTGCAGACCAGTCCCTTCACATACTCCAGCAGCTCATAGATGTGGCAGATGTTGGGGTGGGCCAACTCAAGGTCCTGGATCTGGGCCTGGGTGATAGCTCTCCTGTGCCCGTGCATTTGGGGCCATCTCTCTTACACCACCCCAGTGAAGGGCAGGCCAGCTCAGCACAGTACTTGGACATCAACATGGCTTCAGGCAGAAGCCCAGACCAAAGATATCTGCATGGCCTTTGGTGGTAACCTATGCCTCAGACATTAAGCAGACACTGCCAAGGTAGGACCACAAACCCAGACATGGCCCCCAAGCAGTATCACAGCCCTTGACCCTCAAAATGGCTTCAGGCAGCAGTACAGGGCACAGTTATTCGCTTGGCCCTTGAAGGTAACACAGGTCACAGGCATCAACACAGACCCCAGCTGCAGTAGGACCATGGACCCAGAGGTCTGGATATCACCATGGCCTCAGGTAGAAGCACAGACCAATCAGATCAGTTTGACACCCCACCACCACATACACCCAGAGACATGAGTATGGCCCCAGGCGCCAGCCTAAACTACAGACATCCCTCAGTGGTAATACAAGGCCACAGATAGACCCCAGCTACTGTAGGCCAATAGACTCAGACATGGCCCTTAGTGGCAACCAGGCATCACCATGGCCTTGGGTGGTTGTACAGGCTTCTCATATCAGCCTGTTCCTCACCACTGTCCTGTCTCCAGCTCCACCTCTCTCCACAGCACACAAACCACTCAGCTTCTCTTCCATCTCTCCATCATTTACTCTCTCTCTCTCTCTCTTTCTCTCTCTCTCTCTCTCTCTCTCTCTCTCTCTCTCTCTCTCTCTCTCTCTCTCTCTCTTTCTCTCTCTCCTCTCCCCATTTCATATTTGTTCATTGTAGGGCCCAGATGGGCAGGCACTTGGGTGTTTTCTGGCCTGCCCCAGGGCCTTGGGGCCAGGACAGGTGTTTCAAACTCTGCCATCTTTAAGGAAAGTAAGAAAACTAGTCACTATGGTTTCTGATGTGTCTTAGTTTGCTGCAACAAAACACCATGACCAAAAAGCAAGTTGGGGAGAAAAGGGTTTATTCAGCTTACACTTCCACACTGCTGTTCATCATTGAAGGAAATCGGGACAGGAACTCAAACAGGACAGGACCCTGGAGGCAGAAGCTGATGCAGAGGCCATGGAGGAGGCTGCTTACTGCCTTGCTCAGCCTGTTTTCTTCTAGAACCCAGGACCACCAGCCTGAGCATGACCCTACCCACATGGGATGGGCCCTCCCTCATCAGTCACCAATTGAGAAAAAGGCCTACAGCTGGATCTTGTGGAGGTATTACCTCAACTGAGGCTCCTTCCTCCCTGATGACTCTCATTTGTGTCAAGTTGACCCAAAACCAGCCAGTACATGGTATTAAACAAAACACTATCAAATAAAGATATATGTCTTTTTAAGTTTATTCTTAATGTAAACTTAGAAAACTACTTTTCTGTATCTTAGGGCTTGGTGGTCTTGCTGTTTTGGCTTTGCTTTTTATCAGCATTTTGGGAAAAACATTGTGAGGCAGAACCTCAAGTAACTTACTGTGTAGATGAGAATGGTCTTGAACCCTGACCCTGTTGCCTTAACCTCCCAAATGCTCGGGTTACAGGTGTACACTACCACATCTGACCAGCATTAGAAAATACTTGTGGAAAAGATTTAGAGGTGGAAAGATAATTTATTCTAGGTCATCATCTAGTTAAGCACTGTTAACTTCGTCCCTTTTATCATTTCTTATTCCAAAGGTTCCTTCTGTTCGTGTAGAGGTACATCTTCCTAGAGACAAATCTGGGGAAGTGGACTTCCAGTCGCTGGTTTCACAGTTGAAGGAGACTTCAAGCTTACAAGAGCAAGCTGATATACTCTACATGCTGTACTCAATGAAGTAAGTGATGGATATTATTGGTATACATTAATGCACATATTGTGAGGAAGTATAGCATGTTAGTCAGCTTTCTCTCTTATAACAAATGCCTGCGACAGTTTATTAAAAGAAAAGGTTCACTTTTGAGCTCAAAATGTTCCTTATTTTAATATGCTTTGTAATTGTTTATTTTATATGTATGAGTATTTTGCTTGCATTATTGCTGTGCACTCCAAAGCTTGAAGAGAGTGTTAGATCCCTTGGAACTGGAGTTACAGATGGTTGTGTGCCACCATGTTGGTGCTGGGAATTGAACCCTGGTCCTCTGGAAGAGCAGCCAAATGCTTGTTACTACTGAGCAAACTCTGTAGCCACTAATATTAGTATTTAATAGAAAAGTATATTGATATATAACAGTATTCATTTTGCTGGTTTTTTTTCTGCTTCAAACTCATTTTTAACATAGTTCAAAATTTTTTTTTTGTTGGTAAGAGAGAATACAATAAAGGATGTAAGTCTGTATTTTCCTCTAATGAAAGGTCATGTTTCTACTCATGTTTAGTAGAGTTTGTACTATATTAGACACCTAGTTATCCTTAATTATTATTTAAGGGTAAAAGGTATAAAAAAACCTTTAAATAATAACCTGAATTACCTTTAACTAATAACTTGAATTTGATTATTTTAACTATATAAAGTTGCTCTTTTTCATATGGAAAAAGAGAAAAAAACAAATTTTATTTTGGCTTATAGTTTTGGAGATTTCATTCTATTATTGGTTAGCCATGTTGCTTTATGGTCTGTGATGAGGTACCAGATCATGGCAGCAGCATGGGGTGAAAGCATTCACTTCATAACTGGGTTACAGGAGAGAGAGAGAGAGAGAGAGAGAGAGAGAGAGAGAGAGAGAGAGAGAGAGAGAGAGAGAGAGAGAGAGAGAGAACAGTGTCCTAGTATCTCCTACAAGGGCACACCTCAGTAACCTAATCTAGGCTCTGCTTTATAAAGGTTTCCACCATCTCCCTGCAATTACATAGGTAGAGGACCAAGAGTTTAACATTTGAGGACTATCCAAGATCTAAACTATAGCACACAGTAAATGGAGCACAGCATTTGAGCTTCATGTACCTGTTTAGTACAGTTTACCAATATACTCATGGTGTGATTTCAAAGCCTACATTGTATACATACACAAAATTAGTATTATTCCGGCCTCATAAAAATTATTATAAATAGCTGGAAATCTAGGGCTGAAGAAGCAGTTCATTGATTAAGAGGACTAGCTCCTCTTCCAGAGAACCTAGCTTAGATTCTCAGCACACACATAATGGTTCACAACCAACCATCTGTAAGCATGCTCCCATGGGATCTAGCCCTCTCTTCTGGTCTCTGTGGGCATCAGGCACACCTATGCCACACAGATACACACGCAGGCAAAATAACCATACATATAAAATAAGGAATAAAATTGTGTGTGCATAAAATCCATAATGCAATGCCAGGCCATAATAGGTAATCAATAACAGATAAATATGATTATCAGTATTGTGGTTCTTATGTGTTGGAGTTAGATTCCCTAACTGGACTGGAATGGAGTCGCGAGGAATAATCAAACGCAGCTTACATGGTCATCATGGAAGGGCCAGATCTCTCCTTTGTTATCCAAACACCTTATATATCATCACATAAATTGAGTGGGGGAAAACACATTAGGCTGTCTCCTAGGCAACCAGGTGCATGGGCTCAAGTCACGTCTGCATCTACCTGTATTCTAGCAGTCAGGTAGGCCATGAGTTAGCATCTCTATAAGACATCCTCCAAATTTCAAAAGAAGGAAGCACCAAACCTCTTAACTCTTAAGTCATTAGCTTCAGCCAACATCTCTTCTCAGGTAATCTACATTATAACAAAAGAAACTAGGAGCAGCACCTCCTGGCTATTGTTAAACAGAGACAGCTTGTCTGCAGAGTTCGTGACTGCCTCAGACCGGGCTTATGGCTCTTGTGCCATACAGAAATATGGGCCTACACTTATAGAAGCCTATTGGTATATTGTGTGTGCGTATGTGTGTATATATGTTGTGTGTACATGTCTGTGTATACGTGCATGCTTGTGTGTGAAGGTATATTTGTAGAGATGCATATGTGTGTGTAGGTCAGAAGTCAGCCTTGCATGTCAGTCCTCAGGCACTATGCGTCTTGTTTTTTGAGACAGGGTCTCTCATTGACGTGGGCCTTGCCAGTTAGCCTAGGCTGGCTATATCTGCTTCCCCTGCACTGGGATTACAAGAGTGTGCCAGCACACCTGGCTTTTTTAATGTTGGCTCTGAGAATCAAACACAGGGTCTCATGCTTGCATAGCAAGCACTTTACCAACTGTTCTGTCTCCCCAGTCCTATATTCCTAACTCTCAAAAGAAAGTGGGCAAGATTGTCAAAGACCAGCCTCGACCGACGAAATTCATATGTTCCAGGGTAGGAGCATAAGGATTAGAATTACTAAGCAAAAGGAACAGAGATATGAGAGAAATAAAAGTAAGAAACACAGAACAGCATCGGGAGGGAAATTCAGTAAATACTGAATCCTGAATGTGCCCATGCTGTTTTTCATACACTTTTATACCCCAATACAAAAGGGGGGGAAGAAGGCAAAAAAAAACCCACTTTAACATGACACAAAGGACAACCAGAATAGTTACTTGTTTCAATACTTGAGACATCAAGCCATTATTTCCTGAGTAAAGCATTTGATGTTTTGGGCAGGATATGCAGCAAATAAACCCTAGACCAAGTATCCTGTAGGCAGCCACTCCCTATGTCAAACCTCCTATTTTAAATGAAGGAGCAGGAATTGAATTCTCTGACCTTTGGTCAGGGTGGAGTGGATCCACCTCTATGGGCCATCTTAATGTCCAAAACACCAAGTAACCACACTCTAGGTCAAGGTTTTTTGTTTGTAGCCACAAGTGTTGTCAACAACTTTGAAAGAGTGAAAATAAGCTGGTAAACTCTCTGACCTTTAGTTAAGGTGGAACAGGCTCACATCTGTGGGCCCTCATACATGGTAACTAATGTTTGTAAGTAAATGCAGCACTCAGGAGCCTGAGTCAGCGTGATGACTTCCATGGATTCAAAGCCAGCTGTAGTTTCATAGTGAGTTCTCATGCCACCAGAGTCTAAACTTGGTGAACTAATGGGTTTTATTGGAATTATTTATAGAAGCATGGGTGAGGAGTCACTTACAGGAGCAGACATTACTCAAAGATAGCTGCATCACCAATACCCATCCCTGCTTGGGTGGCAGTTCACAAAAGCTGGAAACCAGGAACATACTGCGTACTCTGCAGGCAGCTCAGCAGGTTGAGGTCTCCCCTCCAAGTAATCAGTCGAAACCTCTTCCAGGCAGCTCTGCTGGTGTTGTAGGAGACTGCTAGTTTGTTCCTGGCTGTTCAACCCTGAAATAATCACACAGAAACCATATTATTTGCAATACTGTTTGGTCAATAACTTAAGCGTATTTCTGACTAACTCATATCTTAAATTAACCCATCTCCATTAATCTGTGTATTTCTATAAGGCTGTGACTTACTGTGTCTGTCTCCAGTGGGACTACATGGCTTCTCTCAACTCTGCCTTTCTTCTCCCAGCATTCAGTATAGTTTTCCCCACCTACCCCTATTCTGTTTTATCACAGGTCCAAGACAGTCTCTTTATTAACCAATGGTATTCACAGCATACAGAGGGGAATCCCACATCATGCTGGTTTCTGCTTCTTCTAGGCAGTTGGTGGGTCTTTCTTTGTAGCTTGGCTTGTATGAGATTCTTTGTAGTTTTGCTTGTCTGAGATTCTTTTTGTCAGTTTGATGGCCTGAGAGTGGCACAGCAATATTTATTGCTTATTCTGGGAGTGAGATGCCTAAAGAATCTGGTCAGTTTCAGGGACTTCCGGAAGCTTGGTTGAATTGTTTACCTTTGACTTAAGGTGTTGCCCTTTGGGTTGGAATGTTTCAATTTGGTGGGAAACTGCTACACAGCAGCTAACCCGGGATCCAGAGTGAGATGCCACAGAATCACTAAAAAAAAACAGAGAGGCTTATCAGAAAAAGAAACAATATTTTTGAGTGTTTGCTTACATGTAAGTTACTCTGATAGGTATTTGCTGTCTTCTACTCAGCATGTGAAAATGAACTCATATAATTTCCTGCCCATCCAACCTGCATAAAATAAGCAGTAATTTTTATATTGTGGTGACCAGGGAGAATTAGGATGGAACCTCTCTTCTAAACGTGCCTTGAATGCCAAGGTTGCTGATGCCATGCACACATACAAAGAGGGTACGGACTAATGGGACACTTTCTGGGAGAGCAAATGAGGCCCCTAAATTTCTTCTGAAAAACTTAATAGAGTAAGAAGAGTAGACCTGAGGTTTGGGCATGGTTGGGCGTGACGCTTGGGTTTCTTACATTTTCACTAGCACCAAAGGAAGGATCCCTTGGAATTTCTTGATAAGAAGTGGATGCATTTGCCCTGTTTTTCTGCTAAGTTCAGTACATGATTTGTACAACACCTTTTCCACTCATATATCTGATGTGGGTTCTTAGAGAAGCCGACAATGTAAGAATATCTGTAGACACAGACATCAAATCCTAAGATAGAAAAAAAGGTTCTTTTCAACAAAAGACTTAGGAAATGGGCAGCTAAACAAGACATATAACTTTTAAAGACAATAGTCACTCTATTCCTGCCACACACCATACAAAAAAATTTTTGAGGGCCCGCCCCTGCCAACAAGAACTGAGTAAGTCCTTACAGTATTCTTACCCAGTTTAAATAAAACAGGTACTATTTCACCTTTCTACTGCCAGTGTGTCAGTGAAGGACAAGGAGGCATCTGGGACTTGCCTGTCACATGAACATCCATCCCCACCTGGTGATGGGGCACCCCTTCTTCAGTAAATGCTCTCAAAGCAGACTAGTCAAGAGTTTGATCACTGAGTATAAATCCTAGGTCAGCTTTGTCCAC